CACCAGGTCTGGGACTCAAACTGTGGTCAACTACATGAGAGCCCAGCGACATAGCCATTACGCCAACTGCTGGTCCCTGATTCACTATACTTTCATACTGTGCCTTTTGTTTCAAAGTTTCCAGGTATACAAATACTTAGCACAATGCTATGACTGCCTGCACTACTCAACAGTAACATGCTGTACGGATTGCAGCACAGGAGCAGTAGGCTATAACAGACCCCTGCAAATGTAGAAGGCTATACCATTTAGGTCCCTGTAAGTACACTTACGATGTTGGCACAGTGCTAAAACTGCCTAATGATGTGCTTCTCAGAACATATCCCATTGTTGGGTGATGCATGACTAATTCTTTAAGAAGATTCTTATTTATTTATTTATTTATTTTAGATTTTTGCCATAGAGCATATGTGCTCACCATAGAGACAGAGAGAGGAAAAATAAGAAATCACCCCTCAAGTGGGATGGCCACACTGCAATCTCTCCTCCATTCTCCTTTTGAGATTTTGGGCATGCACACACACATGCCTGGTGTAATTTTCAGGCCACTGTGTCCAGGATTCGAACTATTGTGGGCCATGTGGGAGTTCAGTGCTTTAACTATCACACTACCTGCTGTTCTTCTTTAAGCAGCAGATTCTATGGTTTACTTGATCTCTTCTGTTCTATTCCAACAGAAAAGTTACCAAATTATGAATAACCATAAAACTTAAAAGGAAACAAATCTCCTTCCTTAAGCAAGTCAGCAGAAATAAAAACCATGGTTCTTGATATTAAAATTATCCAACATAGAATTAAAATACAGGGCAAGCTGGTGGCATGGTAGTTAAGCTAACTGAATACAACATTTAAATAAATATTTTTTAAAAAGAATTAAAATACAAATCTCCCTAAATAACAAATTAAAAGAAAGACAAAAGTACAGAGCTCACAGTGGGAAAACACACACACAGAGTAAATAAACACAGCAAGATAATTTGCCAGCTCAAATCAAACATATCAGTGGCACCAGTTGTTTTAGTTAGCAATTTAGGAATAAATATTTACAGGTTGCTCATCAAACAAAACCCAAGTCTTTGCAATATGTAACAGACATACCTAAATGGAAGTGATTCAGCCAAGACTAAATATGAAGAGCCAAGGTATAACTACAGCGTACACAAAAAGTTGTGAAGATTGTATAACCCAAAAAGGAAGAAAAGTTTAGTTTCTTTGTCTCCCCGGTGTCTTGGGGAGGTGGCTGGAACTTTTGGGGAAATGGCTGCAAGGTGTACCTAGGGATGAAGCCCTCCTGAGCCCTGGTGCATGGCAATGGCCAGCTGGGTATTTCAAGGAGACTATAAATCAGGCCAGCCGGTGGCACAGTGGTTAAGGTGGCTGGATCCTACATAGCCAACTGTGTAGTTCAAGCCTGGGACCCAGGGACTTGAGAAAAACACAGGGCACATGTGTTTTAGTGCCCAAAATCCCCAGAGGAGGGAAAGATGGAGGAGAAGGGATTATGGTCTGGCCATTCTCCACAGGGGGCGCTTTCCCACTTTCCTTTCCCTCTCACATGTCTCTGAAAAATTTGGGGGGAAGGAGAACTTTAAGTCAAAGGCAATATATCTGAATATCTTGGTTCTAACATACTCCTGATATTTCAGTAGTGTCGACTGCAAAACAGATGGACTTTACCCAGTCACACAAGGAAAGAAGTTGGACTATTGCACTATACTTAGGAAACAGGGAGGGTAGTCACACTATTCGACCTCAGATAGGACACAGGTCCTACCCAATATGCATGAGTGTCAGCCATAAGTAACAATCCTGCCAGGATGGTACTCCAGCAGAATCCACCCCTGGCCATGTGCCTTACAAACAACAATTTCTTTTATTCTATGAGAAGGTAGAAATGTGTTCAAATAAACATTGTATTATTTGAAATAAGCTTTAAATCTTAAGAAGAAAGGGCCAGCAGGTGGTGTGGTGGTTAAGGTGCTGGACACTCCCACATGGTCGACCGCCTCTCTCTCTCTCTCTCTCTCTCTCTCTCTCTGGTCAAATTAAAATAAATGAATGAATAAATAAAATTAAATACATAATAAAGTTGATTCACTTAAAATGTATTTATTTTATTTTAATTTATTCATTCATTTATTTTAATTTGACCAGCGAGAGAGAGAGAGAGCGAGAGAGAGAGAGAGCGAGAGAGAGAGAGAGCGAGAGAGAGAGAGAGCGAGAGAGAGAGAGAGCGAGAGAGAGAGAGAGAAAGTAAGAAAGCAAGCCACCAGGTTCTGGACTCTAACCATGGTCTGCCATGTGGGAGTGTCCAACATCTTAACCACCACGCCACCTGCTGGTCCCAAATAAATAATTCTTTAAAAAAGAAAGAAAGAAAGAGGGCCAGCCATAGCACAGTGATTAAGCCCTTGGTGGTTGGGTCCCACATGACCAGCTCTCTGGTTTGAGTCTTAGACCCAATAGCTTGACAAGCTGGGATACAAATGCATGCACGCCCAAAATCCTGTAAGGAGGAAGACATGGAAGGGAAGGGACTGTGGAATGATCATTTCCTATGGGGGATGTTTTCTCTTCTTCCTCTCTCTGTGACCTTGGTAAGCATGTGCACTCTCCAGCAGAGAAAGAGAGAGACAGAGCGAGAGGACAGCATGCTGGATGCATGTGTACGAATGCTCAGGATCCTGACTGGATGGAGAACAGAGGAAAAGGGACTGCAGCATGGCCATGCCACACTGAGGGCTGCTTTTTCTATGTGAGGGGAGGTGGAGGGTGCTGAGCACACAGAGCTCTGAGGGCCTGTCTTCTCACCAGCTAATGGATAAATGGAGTTGAGGAAAGGATGGAGTTACCAAGCATGTTACCCTCAAGTAACATTCTCCTTTGTAGCCAATGTGTTTAATGCTTGCCTACCAACAGTACATAGTACACAACTAACTCTTCAACAAATAAATTAACAAAGACATCCTCAAGACATCAAGGCTGTTTTCCAAATGTCTAAAGTACTATCAAGTGAAATGAAAGGTAACTCATTCTACAATATATTGTTCCAAAAGGCATAGCTAGGATCAACGAATGGAAATAATAGAAATAATGATAAGGATTTGATGTTGATAATACCGGATGCTTCCTATATTCCAGGGCCTATACCGAATGCATTTCTATTTCATATTCACTACTATAAACCTCGTTTTATAATTTAAAAAGTGTGCACACACATGCACTATGATCTGGGCTCACTGAAGGTGGGGGCAGATCACGTGAACACCTTGTTGGAGGTGCTTGTTCCTCTCTGTCTCTCTCACTCTCTCTTTCATGTATTAAATCAATAAATCTAAAAAATAAAGAGTATGTTTTAAATAAATATTTTTAAGAGTACACCAATTAAAAAAATAAATAACCTTTTTAAAAATATGAAAAAGTGGGACCAGCAGTTTGCATAATGGCTATGTCGCTGGACTCCCATGTAGTCAACCGTAGTTCGATTCCCAGACCCAGTGGCCTAAACTCACGCCAGGCACGTGTGTGTGTGTGTCCAAGATCCCAAGAGGGAATGGAGGAGAAGGGATTGTGGCATTGCCATCCCCCCGGGGGGTGATTTCTCGCTTTCTGTCTCTATGTCTCTCTCTGTCTGTCTGGTGAGCGCACGCGCCCTATAGCAAAAAAAAAAAAAAATCTTATAGGCTATAATGTGTACCCATTAATCATACTTCAAGAACTTATATAAGGAGGGCCAGAAGTGTTATGGTGGTTAAGGCACTAGACTCCTATATGACTGACCACAGTTCCAGTCCTGGACCCCACAGGCTGAAAATTAAGCAGGGCAGGTGTGCGTGCATGCCCAAAAATCTGAGAGAAAAATGGAGGAGAAGGGATTGTAGTGTGGCCATCCATCCCCCCGAGGGGTGATTTCTCACTTTCTCTCTCCCTGTCCTTTTCTTATGAGTGTATGCACCCTATGGCAAAAACCTAAAAATAAATAAACAAGGAGCAGGCAATGGCACAGCAGTAATGCAGCATTCTATGAAGCTGACTCACATGAGAAGGTTTCAGGTTCACATCCAGAGATCTCTCTAAACACACTAGGCATGTGCATGCCCATGATCTGAAGCTGGTAGTGGATCACGTGTGTTAACCCTATGGGGGTGGCTGTGTCTGTCTCTCAATCATGAAGAAAAAAATGTCTTTCTCAATTGTGAAGAAAAAATAAACTAAAAAAAAAGGATAAAGAAAACTAAAAAGGATTAAAACCTAGGATATATTATGAAAAGGAAAATAAGTAAAGCTCAGAGTAGTGAATATAATATTCTTCCAATTCTGTTTTTTAAAATAATAAGCACATACATTTATATTTGAAAGAATTATTTATTTAATTCCATTTGTTATTATTATTATTATTATTATCATAATTTTAAATTTGACCAGAGACAGGGAGAGAGAGAAAGGGAAAGCAAGAGAGCAAGTCACCAGGTCTGGGACTCAGACCGCAGTTGGCCACGTAGGAATCCAGTGCCTTTAACTACCACGCCACCTGCCAGCCCCTAAATAATGTATTTTAAAGGATACAGAAAAAATAAAAACAAGGGTCATCGGTGAGGAGAGGAAGTCGATGACTGTAGGACACCAGTAAGGGGGAAACTTACTTCCGCCAATACCCTTGTGTGCCTTCCGAATTTTATACCATGTGTACATGAAATTGGCCCATTCATACTTTAACTTCATCAGGGTTTCTGAAAAATCAAGTGAACTGGAAATACAATAAACCTAGTAACTTTCCCCCACTCAATTAGATTCTAACTCTTTTGCTGCCAACTCTCTTTAATGAATACAGTAGCCAGTCACCTAGGCTGAACTGATAATTCTGCAGACAGTTTTCTCCTCCAAGTTACCCATGGAGAGTTGGCCAGATCCAAAAACAGTCCTATATGTTCAAATGCACGGGGCATGGCAGGGAGGGTCCCACCTAGCTAGATGGATGTCCTAAGTCAGGAATCACTTACCCGGTCATAGGTGTCCCCCTCCAGCTCTCCCCACTTCCTGCCATCCCACGAGGTGACTCGAACTTGATTCCCATCTCTGATGTTTTGAGGCACATAACTGTGAAGGACCTTCTGGAGTCTGCCTGTTCGGGAAGTGGAGAGATCATTCGCAGCAAGATTGCCTGTGGAAATAAAGGTGCTTCAGAGGCCAGCCATCCTGCTGATGGAGAGTCAGACCAATTCTTAGGCATGGCCAATCGAGGCAGACTCTGGGGGCAGAGAAGCTGTTCCTGTGCATGGCAGGCTATCAGCCACCCTGGAGCAGGACTTGCAAAGGCAAATGCCTACAGGGCCAAAGGTTAAGTCTACAAATAAAACAGGCCAGGTAAGAATACTTTTTTCTAAAGCAGTATGTCTAGGCCTGGTGGTTTAAGAAACTGGATCCCACATGGCCACCTGTCCAGTCAGAGTCCAGGACCCTGCAGCTTGATGATACAAGACAGTTGAAAACAGGCCTCAAACTCAACGAGTGACAGGAAGGGGGGGAACTGTGATGGAGATCTGGAGAGTATACACCTTACCTAATGGGAGTGCTCAGACTATAAACCAGCTTGGCATTTGCACAAAGAAATGCCCTGATTTTTGAGGGCACTCAGAAAAGTAAAAATTGGATTCTGTCCCGACCCGCAGGACAGTAGAACAGGTTTCCTGAGGGAAGGAGTGAGAGACCAGATGAACGGCAGGGTGCAGTGTTACAACACGGACAGTGTTACAACTCTTCAGGGTCACCTGGAGACAACGCAGTGTTACAACTCTTCAGGGTCATCCATTTATTGTGGGCCAGGGATCATGGTTATGTACATGTTGGTGGGCAGTGATTGGTTAAATGAAGGATTGTAAAAGGTGGGTTATGATTGGTTGCTTTTGTGGACCAATTATGAAGTGCCAGATATGCAAATCTGAGGGATTCTAAGCTCACCGATTTGCTATGGGAAGTGGCCAATTAGAGTATGGTTTTGAAGGTGAGGTTCTGAAGGGGAGCCAGTCATGGCCTTTTGCATTGTGTAATTGTTTGCTGAGAAACCTAAACCTAAGGGCGATATTCGCTGGTGCAGCCTCCTACAGGATTCTCTGCTCAAGAGAAATTTGCAGGAGGATATGAGCTAAAAAAAGAAAGACAGGGTCCAGTTCTGGCTCTCCGTTCAGATGCAAGTTAGTTAATCTCTCCAGAGCTCAGCTTCCCCTAAGGTACACTCTAAGTTCCCTTCCTGCACTGAAATTCTGTGATCCTGTCTTCCTGAGATCAAGGAGTCAGTCGCTTGGCTGAGGAGCTGGGAAAAGGTCAGGTGCTCCGTAGGTCAGCACGTCTGAACAACCCTCCATTACTTCTCTGCCCTTCTCCCTCCTCTTAGTTCAAGTTCCTTCTCTTCCATGTAACCCCATCCTTCATCTCCCCGCTGATGGGTTCCCACAGCATTCTGATCAGCCTAGTCCAGTACACAGGCCGGGCTCTCGCTTGCACTGACTCATGAAGCCACGTCGACATCGGGTTTTCCTTTCCCTCTGGACTTCAGAAGGCTGAGACCAAACACGGTATCTCTCTGAACCACCCATGGGCCTACCTGAGGCTGAGATCAACTCAAACTGTACAAGCTAGCTGGCAAGAAGCGGAAAGGGGGGGTCTGAACCCGACAGAAAGGCTCAGGCATGGCAAGAGAAGCCTGGCTGAGCTCCAGGTTGGGTGTGAAAATCACAGCCCTTTATGGGTATTTCTCAGGGCCCCAAGGAAAAAAGTACTGTCCGCTTTGGCAGGATGTTGACCAGAGGATGGCTGAAGTGTGAAGTTATGGCGACAAGGCCCAGGTGGGCTATAAGAGGTAAGTAAGATCTGGGCCTCTCCTGAAGAAATTCCTCACCCCAAAGAGGGCGAAGATAAAGACACATAACAGTAAAGCTCAGAGGCAAGGCCAATGGCTAATCACTACAAAGGGCAATGCCCACAGTGTGGAACACAGGGGAGAGAGAGGTGCTCACCCATCTGAACTGGTCAGCATAAGTCGTGTGGGAAGACTTCCGGGAGGTGGCACACTTGAGCCAAGGCTTGAAAGCTAAAGCATTGAGACAGCTCAACTGAGGTGATGTGGGAATTCTAGAGAAAAAATTCAGGAGGCCTAGTCAAGGTGGTGCATGCAGTAGGGAGGGCTATACTGCTAGAGGCTAGGACCACGTGGAATCCTGGATCCCAGACCAACCTGAAACAGTACAGGCAACAGGGATGGGGTGGTGGTAGGAGGGAGCACCTGCAATTCGAGCTAAGTGGACTGTGAGGGCAGAGGCTCTCAACAGCAAGACCCTGTCAGGGATACCTTCCCTCCCACCCTCTCGTTAAAAAACAGGGAAAAAGTGGGGCCGGCAGGTGGTGGTTAAGGGTGCTGGACTCCCACATGGCCAACAGCGGTTCAAGTCCTAGACCCGGAAACTTGCTTTCTCACTTTCTCTCTCTCTCTCTCCCTCTCTCTCACTCTGTCTCTCTCTGGTCAAATACAAATAAATAAAGTTTAATAAAATAATTATTTAAAAAAAAAGAAGAAAAAGTAACAGGAACCAATGCTTCTTCAGGTTTCAGTTTCACAGTGTGTCTGATGCACATAAAGCCCAGGGAAGACCAGCACATAAAGTTATAAATGGGGGTGGCAGCCAGATCTCACCCTTTTGGCTGGCTAGCTAAGGACATGGGGATTTAATCTTGGAGACAGAGTAAACAGATGCAGAGGGGTGAAAGTGTCATGTGATCGCTGCTCAGAACTCTGCCTTAATCTGCCTTCGAAGATCTTGTTCAGTAACCTTCCCTGACCAGCTGACAGAGGAAGGGAGGAAATAATTGCAGAGAAAATATGTGAGCCTTAGAAGCAAGCAAGTACTGTTGCCCACCCCCACCCCTGGCCCAGCATTTTCTTTCTTTTCTTTTTTTTTTTTGGAGAGGTTTTTGCTATAGGGCGCGTGCGCCTGCCAGACAAACAGAGACAGACAGACAGAAAGCCAGAAATCACCCTCCAGGGGGGATGGCCACACTGCAATCCCTTCTCCTCCATTCTCCTCTCGGGATCTTGGGCACGCACGCATGCACACGCGCCCGGCGTGAGTTTTAAGCCACTGGGTCCGGGACGCAAACCGCGGTCGACTATGTGGGAGTCCAGTGACGTAGCCATTACGCTAACTGCTGGTCCCAGCATTTTCTTTTTTTGAGAGGTTTTTGCCTTAAGGCACATGTCTTGGGGTGGTGGTGTGGGGGATGAACCACAACAGACACAGTGAGAGGGAATGTGAGATATCAGCCCCCAGGGGGATGGCTCCTCTGCAATCTCTTCTCCACATGCTCCCGTCTGGTACTCAAACTGCTGTCAGTCATGTGGCAGCCCAGCGACATCACCCCTATGCCATCTGCTGGTCCCACGGGCCCAGAATCTATTTATTTTCTCTTCTCTTCTCTTTTTCTTTCTTCCTTTCTTTCTTTTTCTCTTTCTCTCTTTCCTTTCTTTCTTCCTTTCTGTCCTATTTTCTTTTCTTTCTTTTTTTTCCTTCCTTTCCTTCTTTCTTTCTTTTTTTCCCTTTCCCTTTCTCTTTCCCCTCTCCTTTCCTCTTCTTTCTCTTCTCTTCTCTACTCTTCTCTTCTCTGCCTCTCTCTCTCTTTAGAGAGATTTTTGCTACAGGGCATGTGCACTCACCAGAGAGGGAAGGAGAGACAGAAAGTGAAAAATTACTCCCCCAAAGGGGAAAGCCATGTAGCAATCCATTCTCCTCTATTCTCCTCTCAGGATTTTGAGCAGGCAGGCAGGCAGGTACATATGCGTGCCTGGTATGAGTTTTAAGTCACTGGGTCCAGGTCTCAAACCACAGTCGACTACATGGGAGTTGTGGACAGAAGTCTAACTGCTTTTTCCTATTTTTCCCAAGTCCTTTCCAGAGAGCCTGGGGGTGTCACACCACAGATGTTGACAGACCATTTTGGCCCTTAGTAACAGGATTCTTCCTACATCCTGCCCTTGGCATAGCACTGGAGCATCTTCATGATGTACATTAAGCCTCCTTATCACTGTTTCTGATCTCAGCAACCTTCCTTTTCCAATCACCACCCTAAAAACTGTAAACCCACCTACAACCTATAAGCCCCCCCACTCCACATGTCCTGTCCCCCTTTTTGGGCCAAACCAATGGAAAACTTTTCACTAAATTCCAATCTCTCTCTCTTTTTTTTTTTTTTTTTTTTGAGAGGTTTTCGCTATAGGGCGCGTGTGCTCGCCAAACAGACAGAGACAGAGAGACAGAAAGCGAGAACTCACCCCCCAGGGGGGATGATCACGCCGCAATCCCTTCTCCTCCATTCTTCTCTCGGGATCTTGGCCATGCACGCACACGCGCCCAGCGTGAGTTTTAAGCCACTGGGTCCGGGACTCGAACCGCAGTCGACTACGTGGGAGTCCAGCGACATAGCCATTACGCTAACTGCTGGTTCCCCTAATCTCTGTCTCTTACTCTCAAAATCAATTGAAGGAAAAAAAAAAAAAAATCAATTGAAGGGAACCCCTATACCTGATCACCTTGAGAGAAAGGCATGTTTTACTTTCTCTTCGGGCCTAGGTCACTCATGTTCTACTTGGAAATAAACCGCATTAATTATGAATTATTAATTTTTTAGAGTTGGTTATTTTCTGTTGACAGACTCCAGTGACAGAAACATTACGCCATCTGCTGGTCCCACTGGCTCAGCGTTTTCAATGTGCCCCCACCTACTCTAGCACTCTGACTTACGGCAACAGCCAGTCTGAAGCAATGCCAGTGTCTTTCCCCCAGGGGCCGCACAGAGGTCAAGCACAGTGTCTCCGGGCTGTAGGCCGAGGGCCAGGACAGGCAGCAAGGAGGCAGCATCCATCAGGTAGTAGTCCATGACACCCAGGCTGCCAAGCCTGAAAGTGAGAACAGTATTATCTACTTCATAAAGCTATTGATAGAACTAAAGGAGATAACAAATCCCCTTTTGCACTTAGAAAAATGCTTAACCCATATAAGTACACCATAAATATTAGTAATATTATGAACCTTATTACAGAGAGCAAGAGCCAGGTCTCTTCATGTTTATTTCCAGCAAGTACTCAGGACAGCACAGCCATAGCCCTGGCTCCTACCTGGCAGGAGGGAAGCGGCTGACATCCCCTCTGGCAAAAGTGAAACATCGAAGGTTTGGACTGCAGGCCCAGGAGGCTGGTGTTGGAGCTGCAGATTGGCCACTCTCAGGTTCTAGTTCCCAGTGGGTGATGGCTTCATTCACAAAGTCTCTGGCATTCAGTTGCTCCAACTCAGCACATACATGATCCCAAGCAGCAAAGTTGTTAACCAGTGCACCATACTTCTGCTCTGACAGAAGGCTGACCCGGATGGATGGCCAACAATCCCCAAACTGCACACTGTAGGTCATGTCAAAATTCTGCAGAGCTAGGTGAGTGGCAGGGAATTTGGGTTCTGTAGCAGCCTAAAAGAGAAAGGACAGGCTTATGGGTCTTCCCAGCACTGCCTCTGTCCCTACTGCCTAACCCCACTAATATGTCATGCAAACTTGGATTCAGTTAGTGTCCACTCCTGCCTCTGCATCCTGTCTCTGCCTGCCCCAGGTGCAGCATGGGAGAGAAAAGGAGGGGGGAGCTGGCCTTCCCATCTCAGGGTTGTGAGAGAAAGGAAACTGTAGCTCTTTTTCCATGTGGGGATCATTAAAAAGAGGGGTCTTGGAACAAGACAAAATTAAAAGAACAGGAGCTCAGGACTCTTGAAGAGAGCCTGCAGAAGGTTGGGAGAAACTAGTAGGCTCTGCTGGCAGGTGGCATGGAGGTTAAGGTGGCTGGATCCCACATGGCGGAGTGAGTGGTTTGCATCCTGGACTCAGTGGCTTAAGAATCACACCAGGTGCATGTGTACGCATCATGCCCAAAATCCCGAGAATGGAGAAGGGATTGTGGCATGGCCATTTCCCCAGGGAGTAATTCCTCCCCCCTCCCCTGTGAGTACTCACCTCCCACAGTAAAACTAAAAGAAATTTTAAAAGATTCTTTCCTCCACCAGGTGCATGTGCGTGTGTGCCCATGTCCCCTGGGGGGTGATTTCTCGCTTTCTGTCTGTCTTTCTGGTGAGTGCACATGCCCTATAGCAAAAAAAAAAAAAATCTCTCCAAAAAAAAAAAAAAAAAAGATCCTTTCCTTCAAACCAACCTTCCAACTTCCGAAGTACTTTCATGCCTATGAGCTTTCTGAGCACTACAACAGACAGCTCAGCAAGACATAGCACCTTCCACGTTTGATGAGAGATAAAGGTAACTGACCTAAGGTCACACAGTGACTGTCACCAGAATCAGAGGCTCAGTCATAGGGTTGAGGATAGTTTAGGGAGAGTTCCCAGACCCCAGGAATGTGAGCGAAGGACAGCTCACAGAAAACTGAGGCCTGAACCAAAATGGGATCTTCTAGGATGACTGCTAGGGGGCAGCAGAGAGGATGTGAGTACAATTTAAAAAGTATAGAGGGAAAATGAAGATTTCCAGCAAGGAGTTCCCAGGTTGGTCCTGGTTGCCACACCTGGCACGCTTGCTACAGCTGGCAGTCTTGTTATTATGGCTTTTGTTCCAGCCTGGATTTCTTGTTCCGATGGGGACTCTTGCTCCGACCATGACTTTTGCTGCGGTGAGGATTGTTGCTCTGATCCTGACTTCTGTCACTGTGGGGACTCTTGCTTTGGCCCCTGCCACGCCGGGGACTCCTACTCTGGCCCTGCTTTTTGCCATCTCGGGGACTCTTGCTCTGGTTCCGTCTTCTGCTAAGTTGGAGACTCACAACCTGGCCTTGACTTATGTTCTGGTGAGAACTACTGCTCTGATTTCTGCTATTATGGGGACTCTTGCTTTGGCTCTGACTTTTGCTTTGGGGACTGCTCTGGCTCTGGCTGTCAGTACTCCGGCATTCACTAATAATTATAGTTGAACTACAGCTGGGATTCGTGCTACAGCTGGAACTCTTGGATGAAGGCGCAGGACAGCTGTAGGGGACCCGAGGAGGCTCTTTAGGCGGGCCCCGAGAAGCCACCGGGTAGACATGGAGGCCACAGGGGATGGCATCAGGGAAGGTCCGGACTCGGGGAACAATGGGTAAACTTTGAGGGTCAAAGGGTGTTCTCAAAGGGATAAAGGAATAGATGTGGGTAGAACAAGGAGGCACCACAGGCTGGCAATTGGGGTGGGGTGGGCCTCTAGGGGTACTATAGGTGCCACAGGGCAGCAGCATGGGCTGGTTATTACACTGTGGAGGGCCTGTGGAATGATTTAGGGAACCAGAGAGTGTGCAGGGATGGGGGGTGGAGGGAACTACAGAGTATACGTGGGTATTGCAAAGGGGGCCCATAAGAGGACCACGGGGGCGGCCCTGAGCATAACTACTGGGTAAGGCAGGATCACAAGGAAGGCGGAGGGTTCTAGGGACCACAGTGGGTAAGACAGTCCCAATCCCTGAGGGAAGTTCTGTAGGGCAGGAATTTAAAGGAGTTGTGGTGGATGGCTCCATACAAGGAGGACCAGAGAGGCGAGAGGGGCAGGAGGGAGAGGAAGGAGAGGTGCTGGCCTTAGGGAGTTTACGCTGGCCAGGAGGGGTGTGCTGCAGAGTATTAACTAGGGAGTGACACTTGTGGGGAGGACATGACTGTCTTAACTCCAAGAATTTGAGAGACCTCATTTTGGGGGGATCTAGGGTAGGGAGAGGTGGTTCATTATAGCTTCTACGGGGAGGTGACTGGGGTGGAGGTATACACTGGTTGCCCGGGGGTGAAGGGAAGGAGAGAGTAGGATGAGGACAGCAGGGAACAGGTGGTTCCTGGGGACAGGGGGGAACAGAAATATTGGTACCTGGGGACAGGACAAAGTAAGAGTTCCTACCAGTCTCACAGGACAGAAAGGACTCAAAGCAAGGCTTCCTGGGAGCCTGAGACTGGGGAGAGCAAGGAGGACCAACACTCCCAGGGGCCAGGCAGATGGCATAGTAAGGGCTCTCAGGGACAAGTGTGTTGGCCTCTGAGGAAAGATGGGCGTAGTGATAAGAAGTGGAGACAGAAGAGCCAGACAAGCCTGGCTGAGATGAAGGTGAGGAGCCACAGTCATTTTTCCCAACGGGCAAGTCAAACTGTGGTTTCAGTTCACAGGACTCTGGAGGCTTAAGATAAAAGCTGCCAGCAGGTGGAGAAGATGCTAGGGTAAGAGGAGGGTCATTGTAACTTCTCCTCAAGGACCACTGAGAAAGTACAGGGGTGATCATCTGACCAGTTTCCACAACCCTGTGAGAAAGGGTTACAGGACTAGTTTCCATGGGCCTGTGGGCAAGGGGAGGCGAAATCATGATGCCAGTTCCCAAGGGCCTGTGAGTAAAAGGAGGTGAAATCATGGGGCAAGTTCCCTGGGACCCATTGGTGAGAGGAGGTGAAATCATGGGGCCAGTTTCCAAGGACACACGAGTGAGCCGAGGGGAGGTCACCGGGCTGGTTCTTGGTGGCAGATGAGTGAGGGCAGGGGAAGTTACCGGGCTGGTTTCCAGGGCTGAAGGGTACCCAGTACAGTACCAGACGTAATTAGTCTGGTCATTACAAGGGTTTCGAGGACAAAGACGTGGCGTTCTCGGGGGACTGATCCAGGTGCAATAAGGGCTCCGCTGATGTTGACGGGGAGGGGGTGATCCTAGATGGCAGAACCGGTCCAAACAAGGGCTTGGAGGGGACGAACCCGAAAGGTTGGGTTCTTGGCAGTAGAGCCTTCCGAGGAGTGGAGAACAGGGCTGAAAAGAACATCTCCCTGGGTGCAAAGGAGGCTGTGGTGGCAGGGGTGGAGGGGGCGGGGCGGTTGTGGAAGAAATTCCAGGGTTATCCGAAAAGCACGAGAAGGGGTCTCTGGAGAAGTGGGGAGAACCCTGGGGTTGAGGAGCATCATTACAGCTTTTGCCTACGTTTAGCGAAAGACGGGCGGTGTGTGCAGGGTGGTCGCTGCAACCTTTCCTGGGTGCCAGGGGCACCTCGAGAGTGAGGAAGGGGCTGAATCCTTTCCCGCAGGACTGCGGAGACCCAGGAGGGTTAGGGAAGTCGCTAGAACATTTGGTGAGGGGTGAAGACGGTCGGCCTGGAAGTTCAAGGAGAAAGGGAGAAGAGGAGGTCATAAGGGGGAGGAATGGGTAGGAAAAGAAGGGGAGGGAGGAGGGAGGGAGGGAATGTAAAGGGGTGGTGGGGGACCGAGGGAAAGGTTAGTAAGAGCTGGGGAACTAGAGGCGGTGACATAACTGAAAGAATCGGGGCGGAGGTGGTGACGTAACTTAGAAGGGCGGAGCCAGGAGGCGGCCGACGTGATAAAGGGCAGAGCGGAAGATTCACCAAGACATAAAAGGAAGGACAGAGGCGGTTAGAGGAGGGGGAGGGTCCAGTGACGCTCCCCGAGGGGCGGGGCCAGGGGACCTGGGCATGCTAGAGGCGCCGGAGCAGCGAGTGCAACTGAGGGAAGCGGGAAATGGCGGGGCTGGGGGAGTTTTCCGATGCGAC